GGCCAGACTGAATTTTACTAGAGTTACAACTCTGATACCTCAACATTCTTAAATCTGGAAGCAGCTAAGAGAAACTTTTGTTTTGCCAGAGGTGGCGCTAAGGCCTCTTCGGGCCCACCTCCCCAACTGTGTTATTCTACCCCTTCCTTTGGGGTGGGGGGAGAATTACCATCTGTATGTGGAGGTGTTCTTTGCAATTCCTGGCCTTCTGGTCCTGCCTGACCTCTGACCCCCTAACCTGACCCTTTGGGTGATCCACCCCTGCCCCCATACCCTGTTTGGGAAACTTGCAGTTTTGAATAGTATAAGGAAGTTGGGACCTTCCTTGTCAAGTCTGCATAGGTATTGTGAAGTGGGGGGGGGAATAGAACTGTGTCAGTCAACAAGGGCTCAGAATTTATCTGTCTCCACAAAGCTGGGCTAGAGGAATCTGGAGAAGGCTGCTCCTCTGTCCCCTGCAACTTTCCCCTTCAATCTCTTCTCCCCATCTTTCCTTGTTTTGAGTTTTTCCCTCTTTTGCTTTTTCCTTTCCTCTGGCTCTTTGCTTCCCTGGGTGGCCTCCACTCCCCTTTGGTTCTCCTCTTTGCCCCCCCTCCAGCCCAGCTTTGAGGACGCCATCCGCCTGGTGAGAAAAGGAGGAAAACATTTTAATGGTCCCTCCCATTCCTCTCCAGGCACTGGAAGGTCCTCTCCCCCATTCCTCCAAAGAAAAGCTCCAATTCTTGATGGAATGTATCCCCATTCTCAGTGACAATTTGAGGGGCAGAACTGATACTGGGGTATGTAAAGGGTCAAATCCCCACCTTCATCATCTATGGGCATTATATTTAGGGAGCAACACTTGGGCTAGATTTTCTAGTTGTGGGGAAGAGGGAGCTAGATGCAGGAAAGGGCCTGGGGCAAGGGAGACCAGCTGTGAAGGGCTCCCATCTCCTGCAGTTCCTACTGCCAGGCCAGGCTGCTTTCTGGACCTGACACCTTTACTGAATCCTTGTTAGCATGCAAATCATGAAGTCTCTGCCCCACCCCAGGAAGTTGAGGAGAGGGGCCACGTCTTCAGAGATGGGTCAGGCCAGGGCAAAGCAGAATTGGGGGTCAGAGCCTGTTCCAGAAATCAAGTATTGTGGCAGACCTGGAGTCCCCTTTGCTGCCTCCCTCCTGCTGTCTTGGGGCTACCACCTCCTACCCTCCTGGTTCCGCTGGCCGGGCCAGAAGAGGTGGGGAGACAGGAGCCCCTAGGGGCCAGGAGATCTTTGTATATATTGGGTGGGACGGTTCTGAGTGATCGCTGAATGCTTAGAACTCACCAGTCCCATTCTTCCTGGAGGAGAAGGGGTGCCGGGATGAAGGTGCAGAGGGAATTCCCTCTTCCTCTTCCACCAGTTGTGAATTAATTCACCTCTCCTCAGCCTTCCCCTCCAGACCACCAGCCTGGGAGGGAGAGGAGGTCACAGCCCAGAAAACTGGCCTGTGTCAACTTCCCTCCTTCCCACCACCGTGAGCCATCCTGAGATGTCTGTACAATAGAAACCAAACCAAATGGGCACCCCAGTCGAGGGGAGCAGTGGGGAGGGGGGGGTGGGAAGAAAGGATGTCTGTCTGTCGATCCCCTCCCCCTCTCCACTCCTTACCCACAGAGGCAAAAGACTGTTACACTAGGGGCTCAGCAAGTTCAATCCCACCAGTACAGACTGAGCCAGACCTAGAAACAAATGCAAAACACATAGTGACAGAAATGGGAGAGAAAGCGAGAAAACTCGAGAGGGAGCGAGCTGGGTGACCAACACAGAGGAGAGGAAACACAAATAGCAAAAAAGAAAAAAAAAAATAAGCAGTTCTTTATAATTTAATATTCTATTTTAATAAAGGCGTTTATTACCGTATAAATGTAGCAAAGAACCTGGGCTAATATGAAAAAAAAAGACTTTTTATTAGGTAATTTATTATATGAAAAGGATATTTTATTTTATGATAAAGTGATCCTTAAAAAAATAAAAAAACTTTAGAAGGTTTAGAATATATGTAGGGAGAGAAGAAGAAAAAAATACATTTGTATTCAGAGTTAAATCTTAAAAAAAAAAAGTGTTTTTAATATATGTTCGGGTTTACGTTCCTTTTTTCCCCCACTTTTTTTTGGGGAGGAATGTTGTTTGCTTTTCTTGGGGGAGCATCCTGGGATGGATGGTAAAGAGAGGGGCTGGGGGATCTGGTCCCTTCTGGGGCCCCACAAGTAGATTGGATTTCACTCTGTGGGCTCCCCCTCCCCTCTCCCCTCCCCTCAGGGGAGCTGGCAGAGCCAAACAAAGAAAGGGATTAACCGGAAAGGAAGAAGCTGTGGGACTAAAGATTGAGGATCCTGGGGTGTCCTCCCCCCTTCCCCTGCCCTGTCCCAGGGGCCTGTGAGGAGGGGAGTCCAGAATGGAGGCCTACTAGGCCCATAGGAATCCTCAGAGAGGTGTGAGATTTAAGAGAAATAGATTTTTTTTTTTAACCAAAAAGAAAAAAAAATGAGAGAAGAGAAAGAGAAACCGAGGGGTTTAAAAGAAAATACTACAAAATAATAATAATAATTCAAATTTATTTCATATAATCCTAGAGAAAGAAAGAATTACTAGTTACTTAGTAGATAATATTCAGATAGCTTAAAGTTTAGTAGCATTGAGGACCCCTGGGTCCAGTAGAATGTATAAAAGTATCGAAAAGAATAGAGGAGGGAAGTGGCTAAGTCCACCCTGAGTTGCCCCATTTTCAGGGATCAGGGTTGGAGCAGGTTTCGAGTTAAGATTGGGAGCTTCCAGTCTGCTGGGGTTGATTCTGAGAATCCTTGAAGTTTTACATGGTAGGATAAGTAGAGGGACTCAGTTCCCAGCGTCTTTGAAAGGATATACACTGATAATCGCCTCAGCCAGGCTGGAGGCTGGGCTAGCCACCACAGGGCCCCCTCATCTGGGTGGGTCTTACTCCAGCGTGATGCACCCACTCCTGGGGCTCAGGATGGAGGCCACCGAGCTCCAGCCTTCCTCAGCCAGTTTCTCCCAGGCCTAAATACAAAAGTCCTTCTTGAAGTATAACTTACATCCACCACAGATCAGTTGAACAGCCTGCCATTCTGGGTTCAGGAGCTCTGAGGGGATCTGTCCCCTATCCCTGTTTACATCCGGTATTCTGTGGGGCTTGTCCACCACGGCAGTAGTGGGAATAACAATCTCCATGATTATGCTCCTTTAAATCCGTATAGTGTTTTACAGGTCTGCAAATCATCAGAAACTAGATGTGAAGGACTTCCCACTCAATGGGGTGCAGTGGAGACACTGTTCCTCAAAAGCCTGGAAGACTAGCTCTCCAAGAACAGAGAGGCAGAGGAAGGGCACAAGGACCTTGGGTGACCCTAGGCCTAAACTCTTGTGCTGCTACCCACTTTCATCAGTAACCATTCAGATAAGGGTCCCTCCACTATGCCCTGGCTTCAGGCATTTGCCTTCCCTGCAGGAAATTGGGGTGCCTGGCTTTTGCATGTGAGGAATAAGCATTCTTAAGTGTTCACCTTCTATCAATCCCAGCAGGCAATCAGGAAGGGCTCTTCCCTCCTGTCCAAGAGGGTGAAGAGCTCCCACCCACTCCATTTGGCAAGAGACACCTGCTCCATTACACCATAACTCTGCCATGCTCCTCCCTGACCCTGCACCCAAACACATCTCCCTCTCCCCAATTTACTCTTCTCGCCCCACCTAGGGAAAAATTTCCCCCTGCTCTTTTTGTCCTAGAACCCTCGCTAGTTTGGGATGTTAGCGTCTGGGATGGGGAGGGCTTCCCCTTCCCCACTCGAGGGTGCGGTGGGGTAGGGTGGGTGGGGGGAGACACCCTGGGGCAGGGGGGATGGTCTCTCCACTGTAGAAAGTAGAGTAGGATTGTGGTCAGACTTAATTTGAGGCATCTAGTAAAGACACATATACATCCACCAAGGAAGATTTCAAAAGCAAAATACAGGCGGGAAATGAAACAGACCCATGAATAATCAAGTCAAAGTGATGTTGCACAAAATGCAGAGAAACCAAGAAGGGGGAGGGTTAATGTATTAAATGTGCTATTAAGAACTTAATTTTATTAAAAGTATTATTACTTAAGGCTGCCTTTCTCTACATGTGTCTACTGTCTTGGGGCAAGTGGGAAGAACTGCAGTTGGATTCTCTCTGGAGTTATTGGGTGCTCTGCATTCAATAGAAAGTGCATAGCCCAGAATTCCCTACCACCCTTTGGCTCCCCCCTCCTCTCCACAACCAGTACTTGAATCTCCAAGCACAGAATCCCCTCTGTCTTTTTCCTCCCTTCCTTTAAAATGCATTCACACCCTCCACCCTAAAGTGCTTAGCAGGAGAAAGTGAGCTGTCCTTTGGACTGCCATCTCCTAAGCTCTGGGGGAAAGACCAGAAAGCTATAAGGAAACCCTCCCGGTTTCCTCCACCTGATTCACTCCATCCCTCTTTGGGGACAGGAAGACTCAGATACCTCATTACCCAGCCTTAAAACCCCTTTCCCAGGAGCCAGGGAGATAGCTTAGTAGAATAAGCGCTTGCCTGGCAAGTGTAAGTGCCTGAGTTCAATCCCTAGTTCAGCCTGGGAAATGTGCAGGGCCTGCTCCCCTGCATCTACCTCAGCCTCCCCCACTTTACCCCTGGCATTGGAGTGACCTCAGTTCTTGGCACCAAGGCCCTGGGCACCAGATGGTGCCTGAGATGGTTTCCTTTGTTTTGCCTTCTAGATCCCCCTCCCCTCCATTCTGTCTTCCCTGCCCCACCTGCCCTGGGGGTTGGCAAAGAGAGGGGCTGGCACCTCCCTCCCCTTTGGCACTGTCCCCAGACCACAGAACTCCAGAGGCAGCTGGCCCTGGGGAACAGTGGGTAAGGTGGGGAGGACAGATGAAAGGGAAGGGAAAGGGGACCAGAGACTCAGAGAAGGGGCCAAAGTTGGAGGAACAGACATGAGGTAACGGGATGGCCAGGCATTGCTACAAAACACAGCTTTATTTGAGAGTTCTGGTCTGTGATGAGTGAATAGGCAATGGAGACAGGCATGGTGACGTGAAGACCACCCTGAGGCTCTGGGGGGCTGTAAATGGTACCATAGGGCAGGGTAAAGTCCCACAGCAAGGGTGAAGATGGGGGACCAGGAGCCCAGGGACAGGGTTGGCTGTGGCCAAGGTTAAAGGCTGATACAACAGGCCTTCTTCTCTCCAGGGCTGGGGTCCTGCCCAGCCTGGGCATTGCCCAGGGTGATGGCATTGGTCCGGGTGCTGTTCTGCCTCTGCTTGGACACCTTCGCAAAGATCTCTGAGAGCCAGAGAGCAGTGTTCAGGCCAAAAAGTTTAGAGCTTGTGCCTTCCCCCACCATCCCAACCTGCATTCTCCTGAGCACTGGGAACGAAGGAAGGGGCATGCTGAGGGGGAGATGGCCACCTGGGGGCCTTCTACTTACCTGGGTAGAGAAGGAACCAAAACTCATCCCCTTGGAAGGTGTGGCTTTCTGGTTCCTTCCCTAAGCACCAAGCTGCTGAGTGGAGAAGGGGTCCTGGGGAGGGACTAGGGCGATAGGCAGTGGTGCAGTGGGCACTGACAAGGCAGTTGGGGTGAGGACTGGGTGTTTCCATGCCTACTGCTGCCTTCTGAAGGCACTGGGACAGAAGTGGGAGGCGGGCACAAGCTGAGGCAGGCTCTAACCTTTGAGGACAGTCTCGAAGGCCAGTTCAACATTGGTGGAGTCCAGAGCTGAGGTCTCCAGGAATAGCAGCCCATTGTTTTCTGCCAGGAAGGGAAACATACCGTTTACTGTGGGTAGTCAAAGGCGATAGTAATGATGGTGATGAGGACACCTGTAAGAGTTACTTAATGTTTACTATGTGTGTTTTCTTCATGCTAACCCCTGGGCATAGAGTAGCTTACTTCATCCTTAAAACAACAGATGAGGTAGGCCCAGTTAAGAAACAGAAACCCAGAAGCAGAGAGGATGAAGAAGGACCTTACTCCATGCCTCACATCTAGCAAATGGCCTAGACGGGAGGGGAGGCTGGGCTGGGAGGTTCCAGGTACTTGTACCCCAAACCACTAGACTCTGCTGCTACTAACCCCCCAAAACTCCCAGTGAATGAGTAACTGGAGAAGATCAGGAGAGTGCACCAAGATCTTTAAGCATGGAAGGGTAGGACTCTCTTGAAATCAACAGTGAGCTGGGCCTGGCGGCACAAGCCTATAATCCCAGTATTTTGGAAGGCTGAGGCAGGAGGATCACAAATTCAAACCCAGCCTGGGCAATTTAGCCAAGTATTGAGACTCTATCTCAAAAATTTGGGGCTGGGGTGGAGCGATTGCTCAGTAGAATAAGCACTTGCCTGGCAAGCACAAGGGCCTGAATTCAATCCCCGGTTGATATGTGTGTGTGGGGGGGGAATTAACAATGGGCTGGGGATGTAGCTCAGGGCAAGGTTCTGGATTCAATCCCCAGATCACAGAACATAAATCCAACTACAAACAATTGCCAATGAAGACAATCTCAGGGGAAGGGGGGACATGATAGGAGACATAGGGGCCCAGAAAGGAGGCTCCAGGAGATCCTGACTAAAAGGAGATAGAGGAGGAGGAGTGTATGGGGGAAGTCATGCAGGGGATACAGGGGGAACAGGGACAGGAGGGTGTGGGTAAGCTTGGAAGAGTCAAGTTGTGGGGTCATTTCATGCAAGGGTTGGATAAAGGCTCACTCTCACCAGCAAACATACGGGCCTCTTCAGTGGGTACTTCCCGGGCCTGGCTGAGGTCACTTTTGTTCCCCACAAGCATGACAACAATAGTGGCCTCAGCGTGGTCATAGAGTTCCTTCAGCCAGCGCTCCACTACAGCATAGGTCTGGTGTTTGGTTAGGTCAAACACCAGGAGGGCCCCCACTGCTCCACGATAGTACCTGGGTAGGAGTGGGGGTGGGTAGAGACAACAGGGGTGTCAGGCTTAGCCTCTGAGCAGAGCCTTTAAGCTAGAATATCTCTGTGATCTTCCTCACAGGAGACCTCAACCTATATTGTCTTCTACATTGTCTCCTGTCTATGTAAGACTAACAAATGCCTACCATTGCAGCAGCAAGGTCGCTGGCCAGACCATCCAATGCCTTGTTGCACATGGAGCCTGCTTGGAGCTAGAAGGGCCGTCTTTAGACTGGTGCTATCTAGTCATTCTCAGCAAATCAAGAGGCTCGTGAAAGGACAAGTAACCAAGGTGTACAGCCCTTGTCTGTGTGTGTACTTATGGCCCTTTCTTCCTGCCTCCACCACACATGCAGAGACCACCTTTCACATAACTGGACCTGAAACTGATTGGGAGACAGCTGAAAGGTTGTATCAGCAGGCCTAACTTCTGGTGCCTCGTCTGAGACTTTAGAAAATCTGCACTCCAGGTTTGGCCCTTGGCCTTTGCGATCAAGGGATGTTTTCAAGTGCAGGATGCTGTGCCAAAGTCAGGGGGCGCTCTCAACCCACACAGCTGCCCCTCCCAGCTCCATGCTGATTTTACATTGTTTGTAATTAATTATAGCACCTTAGTTCTGTGGCACCTTAAAGATAACATACAATGCCAGGTATGAAGTGCTTTGTACTTCCTGGGCAAGTGGCAAAGGCTTCTAAAGTGGTGGGGATAACTGGTTTTTAACTTAAATTTTTTTTTCTTTTTTCCAGTACTGGGGATTGAACTCAGGACCTTGAGCTTCCCAGGCAAGCGCTCATTCTAGTGAGCTATCTCCCCAGCATGATAACTTGTTTTTAGTTCTGCTAGTCAATATCATTGCATCTTGTCTAGCACTGTTTGCAGCTCATAGTGTTTGCATCACTTATGATCTCCCTCAAGGCATCCTGCTGAGTCCCCACTCCCCACTCCCCCTCCAGAGGAATTCCTTGTCTTCTCCAGTGCTCCAATGCCCACCAGCCCCCAGGCCCTGCGCTCACGCCGAGGTGATGGCCCGGTATCGCTCCAGGCCAGCTGTGTCCCAGATCTGAGCCTTGATGGCAGCGGTGCCCAGCATCACCGTGCGGGTGGAGAACTCAACCCCGATGGTGGTGCGGCTGTCGTGGCTGAACTCATTGCGTGTGAAGCGGGACAGCAAGTTGGTCTTCCCCACACCTGACTCGCCGATCAGCACCACTAAAGGAGTGGAGAAATAAGGGCTGAGTGTGGGACAGAAAAGTCTGAGCCCACCCGAGTTTGGAGGCTCTATCCAGCAGAAGGGAGCAAGTAGCCATGTGCAAGTAGCACACACTTGTAATCCCAGCTTTCTGGGGGGCTGGGGCAGGAAGTTGGTTAGTTCAAGCCCAGCCTGGGCAACCTATCAATTTAGTGAGACTATCTCAAAAAATAAAAAAGGCTGGAAATGTATTGTAGATCTGTGCAAAGGCTCCAGGTTCAATCCTTAGCAACACACACATACAGAGAGAGAGAGAGAGAGAGAGAGAGAGAGAGAGAGAGAGAGAAATCAGACAAGCAAGCAGGTGAGAGTGGTGGCACATGCTTATAATCAGGAGGCTGAGGTAGGAGGATTGTTGGAAAGGGCCAGCGAGATAGCCCAGTGGACTAAGTGCCTGCTTAGGCAAAGCTCAGGGACTGGGGTTTGATTGACTGGCACCATAAACAGAGCTGGCCCGGCCCCTATAGTGTGCTGAGCCTGCCACTGAGACCAGGTATGGTGGCACATGCCTGTAATCCCAGTGCTGGGCAGGCTGAAAACAGGAGGATCACTACAAGTCCAAGATACCTAGTGAAACCCTGTATCAAATACATAAATGAAAAAAAAAATAATAATATACAATTTAAAAAAGGAAGAGGGCCAGCCAGATAGCTCAGTGGGCTAAAGCACCTGCTTAGGCAGAGCGCAGGGACCAGGGTTCAATCCCCCCAGCATGCCATGCTGGCCCTGCCCCAGGAACATGGTGAGATTGCAACTGAGACTGGGTGTGGTGGCACACACCTGTAATCCCAGTGCTTGGGAGGCTGAAAACAGGAGAATCACTGGGAGTCTCATCTGTGTAGCAAGACCCTGTAGACCCTGCACCAAATGCATAAAAAAAGAAAGAAGAGAAAGAAGGAGGGGAAGAAATTAGGATTCAGCTGTCTCTAAGGAGGATTTGTCCTGCACGATGAAGAGCACGTTAACTGGGGCATGTGGGTGCACCCTTATAATCCCAGCTCTCTGGGAGGCTAAAGGAGGAGGACTACAAATTCAAGCCCAGCCTGAGCAATTTAGTGACTTAGAGAGACACTGTCTGCAAGACACTGTCGGACACTGAAACAGACAAGGACTGAGGCTTTCCTTCAGTGTGAAGGTCCTGGGTTTAATCCTCAGTACCACAGGAAGAAAATCTTGGGCCAGGGAGATGGCTCAGTGGAATGAGCGCTTCCCTGGCACGCACAAGAGCCTGAGTTCAATCCCCAGTTCTGCCCCCCCCCCCAAAAAAAAAATCTTTTAGTTTTTGTTTTTCAGCTAGGCTCTCACAGTGTATCCCAGGCTGGTCTCAAACTCACAGTGACTCTCATGCCTCAGCCTCCTTAGCACTAGGATTGTGGGCGTGTGACACCATACCCAATTTCTTTATTTATTTATTTTAATTTAACTTATTTGTACAGGGGAAGAAAATCTGGCATTGTGTGGGTAAGACAATGTACATGTGTGTGTATGTGCCTGTACATATATGTGCACCTGCCCCTCCCCTCTTGGGTCACCCGCCATCACATTCTTGGTAGAAGGTGGGTGTTCTCAGCTCATTCCTTAGCTCCAAGTTGCTCAAGACAAACCTTTAGAGTCTAACAGACTTAGATTTGAGTACTACTGGCTTTGGGACCCTTTGTGACCTTTTAGTCTGTCTCTAAGCCTCAGTTTTCTCATCTATAAAATGGAGATACTCCTGGCCAACAATTACAGTGCTTTACGAAGTGCCAGACACCCTCCTAAAAGCTGTATGCATATTAACTCATGTAATTCGCACAGCAATGCTTTATCCTCATTTATACAGACAAGGAATGCACTTTGGAGGGAGGCCAAAGGACTTGCCCTGAATAACTCAGCCAGTGTAGTGAAGTGCCAGCCAGATCTACCTTCAAGGTGGGACCCTGCCACCCTTGGAGGACAGAGGGAGGGAGTTTGGTATGTATGTCTGCATTGTGAACAGACGTATGCATAAGGAGAAAATATAGCAAGTGACACGAACATGTGGAAGTGTGGGTACCTGTGTGCATGTGTACAAAGTGTGCATGCCTGCAAATACCAGCACTCAGGAGGCTGAGGCAGGGGGATTACTGGGAGTTATAGGACAGCCTGAAGCTGTTGAATCCTTCCGGGGCTGCCACCAGAGCAGACAGCAGCCTCATGGAAGCAGTATCCTTCCTAGACAGCCCCATGCAGTGCCTGGACAAGGCGAGGCCATCACAGAATCCCCCATCCCTCACCTCAGCTTCATGGAGTCTGAGCTGCATGAACTGCCCCCTCTTCCCAATGTCATTCTCTCCTTACTTTTGTGTGTGTGTGTGTGAGGCTAGCGCAGCCTACGCTGGGGGTAGGGCTGGCACAGCATATAGTGCGGAGGACTGAAGCACACAGTCCCTGTGCTTGCCTAAGGAGGCACTTCAGACTGCTGAGCTATCTCACCAGCCCTCATTCTCGCCTTACTTTCACTAGTGTTGGTCCTCAATACTGAATACCCTCAAACTTTCAGGGTCTGGTTCTAGGGATCCCATTGGCACTAACTGGTAAGAAGTAGAGCTGGCTCCTGACTAAGATGCTATTCCAGCTCTCAAAAGGAAAGAGAATTTTTAGGTGGTGTTATAGTGATTAAAGAAATAGTGGCTTGTATCCAGAAAGGACTTGTTAAACAGTACTATCTATTAGTATTTATGGCCCAGCCTCTTGCTAAAGCTTCCCCTGTCTCCTTCCTGGGAAAGACGCCAGAAGTACAGGTTCCCCAGCTTGAGCTGGGGTGCGGCTGAGGTTGGGAGAGGCTGTGGGGTGGGGTGGCTAGAAAGGGAATGGGTGCTCGACCAGTCCACCCTGCTCTCAAGGCAGTGCGGAGGTAGGTAGACTTGGAAAACCATAGACCATAGCAGGGGCAAAGAAGCAGGAAGGACACATGAACACTTGCAAGGACAGCCAAGATGAACCCAGTGCTGAGGTATCGGGGCCACAGAATCTGCCCAGGGACAGGCAGAAGAGGCTTCAGGCCCAGCAGTACTGTGGCTTGTCAGGCCTGCTCCAAACTCATTGCATCTGCCCAATACCTTCCCTATGTATTTATCACCCAGCCTAATCTTGGGCTGATTCCTCCCACTCTCCTAGATGACTTTCTTGTGCTGAAATCTTTTTTACCTTTCCTCTCAGAAAGAAAGTCCTTTCTGAAGTCGGCTGACTTCCCAGGAACTTGGGCTTGTTAGGAGCAGGAAGGAGAGCCAGACCCGGCAATATAAAGGCATAGACAGCATCGCTATGCATACCAGCAAAGCATGCTCAGCAACCCCAGGACTTCTGCCTCTGTGATCAGACCCTCTTCTGTTTCTGCAACTTCCTTTCTTAGTTGGAGGGAATGGTGAGCCCTAGGAGTCCCGGTAAAAGATGAAAAGCAGGAGGGGACCCTTTCTGGCTCTGTCCACTTCTTTCTTCTCTCAGGCTTCTTCTCTCTTCCTGAACCCCAGCTTACCTTTGAAGACAAAGTTGTAATCTTCCTCAGTTCCATTCCCCATCTTGGCTCCTCATGGAGGGTGCAGGTATCTTGGGGGTAGAGGTCACAAGACTGTGTTGGCTCAATGCCCTCAACCCTCAGCTCTCAAGAGACGGTGCCCCACTTCTCCTCTCATTGGGGGCAAGGAAACTTCTGCAGCCAGAGACACTGAGGACAAACCGAGACCAGGGAGAGCCCAGTGAGGCTCCGGCAGGTGGGGGTGCTGTATGGAAGCTGAGAGGACGGAAGCGGAGAACAGGAAGAGAGGCGGCGACGGGACCTGGGCCCCAGATGGGTGGAGAGAAGCTGACGTCAGACAGGTTAGACAGGTTGTGTCTGCCTGCAGCCTGGGCTCCCACAAGCAGGGCCAGCTCCCAGGGATAACAGTTGGGGCTGAGCGGTGGGGGGGCACAGGATCTTAGAGAGCCCCCTTGACTGCTGAATTTGCCTGGCTTCACTCCTGAGCTCTGCAGCAAGAAGTTTGGCCAGCTACTAGTGACAAATAGCCCCTTGAGGAATAGAAACCCACTTAACTCCTACTTTTCCTGCAGGGGTACACTGGAGGTCCCAGAGGAAACACTGCTGGAGCAAGGGGTAGGGGCACATGGAATGTGTCACCTGCAGTAGTGTGGAGCTGTGGGTGCTGCATCATGGCCACAGTGACTTCTGCTTCTCCCTGATGCCCCAGGGCCTGGGACAGCCAGGGATGAGCAAGATGTCTTACTCTGGGTGGAGCTGGAACTCACTACCTACCCACCTACCTGGGATAGGCTCCTTCCTATGGTATTGGGGCCAGGAGCTGATAAATTCCTCCACAGACCTGCTCTGAAGACAGAGGAGAGACATGGGCGGAATTTGGAGATGGAGTGCGGGGGGGATCTGGAGGGGACACTTCTGAAAGGTTTCTTTCATTCCTTGCCCAAGACCCAAGGCCTAGGAGGCCGGGGAGATGGCTCAGTAGAACAAGCACTTCCCTGGCAAGCAAGCACAAGGGCCCGAGTTCAATCCCTGGGTCTGCCAGAAAAAAAAAAGACCCAAGGCCTCACAAGAACATCTCTCAACATTTAGAAAGGGGAAGATAGCTGTGGCAACATGTACCTATAATCCCAGAATTTAGGAAGCTCAGACAGGAGAATCTCTGTGAGTTCTAGGCCAGCTTGGGCTACACAGTGAGTTCAGTGTCAGCCTAGGCTACATAGCAAGACCCCCCACAACCCCAAAAAGGTCTAGAAAAGGGTTATTTCTAAAGCCTGGAATGAAAGGTTCTATATTCTTTGTTTAAAGTCACTAGGCCTCTACACCTCTGCACTCACTCAGGTGAGTACAGTTCTGCTGAGTGGCACAGGTTATGTGGGGTCAGACCACTGGCGAGGCTGAGCAAGTGGGGACACAACTGCCAAGAACCATTGGGTCAGGAAGGCTGCAGTGAATGAATGGGAGAAATCCATGCTGTAGAACACAAGGAATCCTCTGAGCCATCTCTGTTTCCCATGTCCTCTGATTCTTCCCATCCAAGAAAGGGGCCAAGACACAGACAGAAGTTGAAGTTTATTCTAGAAAAAAACAGAGTTCCTCCTCTCTCCCACAGTCCAAGGTTTTCTCAGGGGGCCCTGCCCCTCCAATTGTCATCACCAGTGTCCACCAATAACTGCTAGGATGCTGCTACTTGCGTGAGAGGCTCTTCCAGGTACTGCACCAATGCCTGGGCCTGCAAGAGGGGTTCACATCAGTCCCCACATGACTACCACTCCAAGGATCCAAGGGCTCCCTGTGCCATACTGAACACCCACCAGCCCTGGCTGCTCTTAGGAATGGGCCACATTGGACATGATCTGAGGAGACTAAGAACTCCAGAAATGGGGTGTGGGTGGGAGTGGACACAGTGACAAAGCCTAGAGCCTGGACCCAGGGTTGAGGAGAGATAGGCACATACACACCTTGGCCTTGAGCATTCCGAAGCCCACGGTCTCCTTGGCATACATACACAGCAGAATATTAGCCACTCGGGTGATGGCTACACGGCCCTCCTGGTGGGGTACATGACAGATGGAACGCTCCGCTTGGCACCGTTGACTCCTCCCTCTTTCCTCAAAGGCTTTTCTGGCCCTACAGAGTGTATCTTCCTTCCATTTTCTGGGAAGCTTTGGTCATAGCCCTCGACATGGGGTTCTGAGCCTGGGTTCCAGCCTCAGCACAGACACCTGCTAGACTCAGTCTCCCAGAAACTCAGCCTTTTTTTTTTTTTTTTTCACGTCAGACGGGTAATGTGCCCACGTCATAACAAGGTTTGAGGGAGGCACATCTCATGCATAAGGCATGAACACCCAATCATCACGTTCATGAACCAAAGGATCCTCAGCCTCTTTCTGTAACTGGGGTTACAGCCCAGCTGGTAGATGTAATATACACATGAATCTATCTTCCAAGGGTTGGGTAAGGAGGTGGTATTATTATAGGTTCACCCCAGAGACACTCACAATCCAACTCTTATTTTTCCATGTCACTGTTTTTTAAACTACAGAGATCTGAACTGTTGGCTGACTTTGGCATGGTGATACAGGCTTGTCATCCCAGCACTCTGGGATCCCAAGGCAGGAGGATCCCAAGTTTGAGCCCAGCCTGTGCAACTTAGCAAACTCTCAAAATTCTAAAAAACAAGCCAACAAATAACTAAGGAACTAAGAGCTAAGAATGTGGCTCAGAACAAAGATTTTGAGTTCAATCTTTAGTACTAAACCCACACAAAACAACCCCCCAGAAACAAACCCACACAAAAGCTCTGCCACAGAGTTGCCCTCAGCCTAAAATGTATGACTGGGTTGTAGTAAGCAGTCTGAAGCAACTCTATGCACTCAGTAGGGCTTATCCACTGAACCAATGTGGCAATGGTTGGGCTATTTGGCAGCTGGTTACAATGGGGCTCATTCGTGGTAGGTTCATCTTGTGATCCAGTCATCCCTCACTAATTATCTCTGTATACAGGGGACCAGGCACCATACCCCTGCCTCTTTCATCTCATTTCCTATTGCCGTCCTCTATTCTCATGCCATTCCAATCATAATAACCTTGTCGATCTTTGGCCAGGACTATTATACTTGCTATTCTATCCAAAATATTCTTCCCCCAGACAGCCATATGGCTTAGTCCCCATCTTCCTTTAGATCTCTAATTAAATGTCACTTTTTCAGTGAAAATGTCCCTGATATATCCTCACCCTACTTTCTCACTTCCCTTTTTTCCTCCATCACGGTTTTTCTTCTTTTTTGGCAGGGATGGGTATTCAACCCATTTGAATAGGCATTTTAATCACTGGGTCATACTCTTTTCCTCCTTTTTTCTTTGGATTTTTTTCTTTTCAGACAGGATTTCACTATGTGGCACAGGCTGGCCTTGAACCCATGGTGATTCTCCTACCTCAGTCTCTCAAGTGCTGGGATTACATGTGTGTGCCACCACACCTGGCTTTCTTTTCTCCTGTTTTTGAGACACGAAGGCTGGCCTTGAATTTGAACTTGTAATCTTTCTGCCTCAACCTCCAGAGTCGATAGGATAATAGGTGTGTGCCATTGAGCCAGGGTCTGTTACGTTTTCAAAATCTAACATATAATATGTTTTATTCATTTTGAACCATGTGTAAGACTATAAGCTTCATTTGGGGTAGAAATTGTACCTATTTGCTATAAACATAGTCATGACACAGAGACCACTATAGGTATACAGGAAAAATTCTTGGGGCTTTAACCTGTTATTCATTAAAAGTATGGTCTGTAAGGGGCCGGGGAGATGGCTCAGTGAAATAAACACTTCCCTGACAAGCGCAAGGGCCT